AAGTGCTGCGGCCCGCATCTGGGCAGTGGTTGGCTCCTCGATCTGCCCAGGCCCAGCCGCGGCAACCATGCCATGGGCAAGCGCGGCACTTGCCCCGCGCCGTTCCAAACACAAGTAGGGCTAGACGGTTTTTCGGGCTAGGCTTAAATCGGGCCTGTCGCCCTACAGGAGGAATCTTCCAGAATAGTCCAAAAATACTCTGGGGATTTTTTTTTGAGTATTTTTGGGTCATTTTTTATTTTTCGTCCAAAATCCGCCTGCAGAGGGACAGGCCCGACTTAACACAAGTAGGGCGAGAAGGTTTTGCGGGCTAGGCGGGCGGTCCACGTGCTTCTGTGGACGGAACACAATTTGGGTTTTCGCTACGGACAGCAGCCACATCTAACCCTCTGATTCTCGGGTGTCTATGACCCTTCGCAGCGTTGAGCCCTGAACCAACATGGCTACGGGAGGATGGGAGCGAGGATGAGGGAGGAGAAAGAGGGGGAGAAGGAGGAGGAGGCGGAGGAGGAGGAGGAGGAGGAGCAGGAGGAGGAGGAGGAGGAGGAGCAACAGGAGGAGGAGCAGGAGCGGCAGGAGCGGGAGAGGAGAGGAGAAGGTGGGGAGGAGAAGGGAGGAGGAGGAAGGAGGAGGAGGAGGAAGAGGAGGGAGAGGAGGAGGAGGAGGGTGCAGGCTCGAAGGCGCGCGCGCGCCGGACGCCGTCCTACCCCTCCCTCGCATCCCTTGCCGTGGCGTGGATTTTTTGACTAGTCCCACGTTCGGGTGTCAGCAGGCGAGGGTCCAGGGTTCCCCGAAGGAGGGTTTCCCCGAAGGGATTAGGCGACCTGTCCTCCCATCCTCCTCAACCCCTCCCCCACCTCCTCCCCCCCCTATCCACATCCTCCCCTTCCTCCTCCTCCTCCTCCTCCTCCTCCTCCTCACCCTACCTCCTCCTCCTCCTCCTCCTCCTCCTCCTCCTCCTCCTCCTCCTCGGGTAGCCCAAGTCCCCAGGGGAAATCATGCAGGCGAGGGCACCGCCTGGTAGAAGCAGGATTTGGCACGTGCGGGTGGCCGAAAATGAGGCGAGCGCTGTAGCGGGATCAACATCTTGCAAAACATAAAACTAGGCGGGTTGAAACATAACACATATGAGCAAGACACTGACACCAAACCCTGTGCGTAAAAACAGAGCACGCGGCAGGGGACGGAACTAGATAATGAGGCCAGCGCTGCAGCGGGAGCGGCATTCAGGAAGATACGAAAATAATCGGATTGGAAAAGCAAATACGAACAGCACATTCCGCCCAACCCTGTGTGTAAAAGCGCGGCACGCGGAAGTTTTTTTTCGGACCGAGCGGAAACCCGAAATTGAGGCCACCGTTTCAGCGGGAGCAACATTCTGGAAGAGCCGACATGCTCGTGTAGGAGGACATATGAAAAGCGGATTTGTGCCACATGTGTTGAACACACATTGCGCGTTGGACTACATCAGGGGAAGAGGGGGACGGTTGAGTAGTATTCAGATTGGGTAATCATGGGGGGGAGGAGGAGGGAGGTTGCAGGAGGGAGGAGGATGAGGAGGATGCATGCCACAGCATACCTTCAGCGCAAATGTTGCTCTGCCTTGTTGGATGAAGCGACTCGGGGCCTCACTTGTCCTGGTTTGTTCCTTGGTGGTCAGATGCCCTCTTTCAAATGAGCTCCACCAGGAGGAGGAGGAGGAGGAGGAGGAAGAGGAGGGAGGAGGGAGGTGGGAGGAGGAGAGGAGGAGGAGGAGGAGGAGGAGGAGGAGGAGGAGGAGGAGGAGGAGGAGGAGGAAGGAGGAGGAGGGAGGAAGAGGAGGACCTGAAGTGCTAGAAGCGCGTGAAGGTGCAGACCAAACGTCAGCAGTGGCGGATTCCGACAGAGCAGCTTGTTAGGACATGCAGCAGCGACTCGCAGAGCAACGTGTCGTTGAGCCAGCTTCTCTCAACGTGCTTGCTCAAGCTTCCCCCTGGTTGTCGGCGGTCTGCACGACCCGAGGCCCTCTGACCTCCAACTCTCTCCTGAACGAAAGCCATGGGAAGTGCTCCCAGCAAGGCCGCAGTACCCGCCGTGGGGCCCGCCGACGTGTTCGCCCAGGACGTTGGTCGCCTCGTCCAGCATAAGGCCCGTGCCCAGCAACGCGTGCCCAGCAAGCCGGTGAAGTACTATCTTGTGACCTTCGGTTTTTCCCGCTACCGTGCCAGGGAGACGTGTCAGCCCTCCCCAAGGTCATGCGACACCACGCGGGCAGGCTTGGGCCACTTGCGCGCGAATCGGGGGTCAGTCACCTCCTCCTCCTCCTCCTCCTCCTCCTCCTGCTCCTCCTCCTCCTGGGCCTAATGGCCCCTCAGGGGGCGCGGAGCGATGTAAGATGCTCAGGCCAAGGATCTGCATAAGGGTCCCCGCATAGGAGGTCTCCTAGAGACCTCTCCCAGACCTCCCCCCAGCCTGGGGGGAGGCCTTCCGGAGCCCCCCCCCCAGCTTGGGGGAGGTCTGG